GGTGATATAATTTAGCAATATTACGATGGCTCATTAGAAGAACAAACCCGTAGGCTTGCAAGGGTGACATTATTTCACCTTTCGGTTTTTAAAAGCAGTAATGCAGTGCAGTTCTTTAAAAGTTCTGTTAAAGTGTAAACCTTTAAATAGCTCAAATTTTGTCTTTTCTGTTCAACTAGCATAGAATCTTTTCTATGTATTGGTGTGTTCTGCATTGTAATATGTAGCATTATAAATTGATTTTGAAACAAAATTTAGTCTGCTCCGATAAAAAAGGAAGTTAATGTTGTACATCACTTTATATTCAGACTAGATTATATCTGCTCAGTGACCCAAATTTTCTCAATCAACACACAGGGGAAAATATGTGAAACTTTATCATTTGTTTATTTTTGGCTTTTTTATTATAAATGATTCAGTTAACTCTGTAGCGACAACCTGAACATCACAGTCCCTGATAAACATTATTCTGCAGCTGATGTCCTATATAGTAAAGCCACTATATACCTCTACTGTGATTCTTTCCATAAAGAATGAAGATGTATCATTCAGTGGAGATTAGAGCCAAAGATGCCAGGTTTTGGATCTGCCCACAACAAAACATAGTATTTCTAGGTGTTCAGGGGACATGGCTATGTGCTGCAATTCTATAGCATGGATGAGGATATAGCTTCCAATGCACTTTGCTTAGGTGGGCCATTGCGCTTTCTGGCTCAAAGTTTGGAGGTTTTCATATACCAGGGATTAAGACAGTTTGGGAAACTTCTCTCATAGGATATAAAAAATGGGATTATGGAACCAAATCCATTAGACTTGGCTATTAGGAGAGTGTGTGATGTACACACACACTGGTGTGTACCCCACACTGGATGGGGCTAGAGCAGTTTGGGGAACTTTCCAGATGGTAAAGTTATTTTGGTCATTTTATGATACAAATGCAATTTTAGAGATTTTATATAGGCCCCAAACAACAACAACAATAGCAACAAGTTTTTCAGTTCATTTTTCTAACTTTTGTCCTTCAAGTAGAAGTGGCTATAGAACTAATTTTGAGGAGCAAAGGGGAATTAAATAATATGAGTAGGAGAACGTTAAGTTTTATGAATGTTTCCCTAAGAGTTAAAACTGAAGTGTGCTTGCTAGTGTCACGAATCACATCTGACTTTATAACATTCTTCAGTTCAACAGACTTTGACTGCTATTTTTTAAAATATGTACCATAGATTAATAAGGTGAATACATTGAATATCTTCAGAAAAGAATCAGAATATGATGACCTTGTTTCTAAAACTGCAGAATCTCTGCTGATCATTGGATGAGTACCAGTATTTCATCCCACAAAAGCAGCAACCCTAGTTTGTTGGCAACTGTCCTCTGCCTCGCCTACCTCCATGTCTGCCTTGCTTACCTGTTTTCTGGGTCAATCTTGCAGTGCTTCACCATGAGGACTTCCTCAAAAGTGAGGCACTTCCTTCCATTGCTTTCTGGAATCACGTGGGCCAGGTGGGAAATGAGTGGGTAGTTCCCCACCCTGCAAATGGAAAGGTCTTCTGACTTACCTAATCACAAATTTGTTTCTCTCTGTGTAGAATAATAATAAGATATCAGGGGCGTTGTTCTTGATTAGCAGATGGAGGCCTTTGAACTGACAGTAGACAATGGGAGTTTATTTATTGTTTCTGTCATAGCAGATAATTAACTCACATTGGCTCTAATTGGTATGTCTTCTAAGTGTAATTGGCACTGGTGAATAACAAATGGATTTTCTGTTTCCGAAGTCCATGCAGTTTTCTACCAGAGAATGTCAGCGCACATTTATGGAAAACATCCACTCCTTAGATCTGGGAGATAGATTTGATAGATATCAAGAATGCTCATTTGCAAATGCAAAATCTATTGATTTAAATGTAGAAGATTTGTCCACTTTTTTAAAAAAACCCTGTATATATCATCATTACTCAAGAATAAATGGCAAAAGAACTAGTGCTGTTTAGGCAAACTCTTAATTGGCGGCTTGTTATAATTCTTTAGATACAATTGATAAGCAAGTAAATAAACAGTAACTTATTTTCAAATTATCTGGGGATATGTGGCAATTCCATCATGGCAAGATGGCCCATGAGGATTTTTCTAACAAATACTATAAATAGTGTCCTGGTAAATTTACTGATTAACTTCTGACATGTGAATTGAAACCATCCCTTAACTTTATATTTTCTAAATAAATAAATACTTTCTGATCTGAAATATATTTATTTGATTGATTGATATCCTATCTTTGGGGGGTATATCTCAAGGGGGTGTACATAAGGCTTTCGCTCCCCAACCTTATGAGATGGATTGGGCTAAGACCAGAGGTGGTATTCAGCAGGTTCTGACCAGTTCTGGAGAACCAGTAGCGGAAATTTTGAGTAGTTTGGAGAACCGGCAAATTCTACCTCTGACTGGCCCCACCCCCCCATCTATTCTCTGCCTCCCAAGTCCCAGCTGATCAGCTGGGTCTTCTTTGGTTGCCCTGCACAGGAGAACGGAGCTGGAAAGCAGGTTAGTGGGAATGGGATTTTGCGGTAACTTTCCCTAGCCACACCCACCAAGCCATGCCCGCTATACCACACCCACCAAGCCATGCCCACAGAACCAGTAGTAATTTTTTTTGAATCCCACCACTGGCTAAGACAGTGGCTTACCCAAAGTTTTCCAACCAGCTTTAATGCCAAAGGGGGAACTAAAACCCATATCTCCCTGTTCTTCTTCTAGAACCTTAATCACTATACAAAATGTTCTCTAATTACATTTTTTTCTCCTATTATGTGATTATTTAGTATCTGAGGAATTAGTGATCTACCTAAGTGTTTTCCTGTCCTTTGTGGCTCCATGTATTCCAGGGCTGATTCAGGCATTGCAAACAAAGGAGTTATGGAGCCATATTAAAACTATAATTAAGTCATTTTAGTTATGCCAAGCTGAACTTTCACTCTAAAGTCTAAGAAAAATTTTTAGATGTGCAAAATTAATGAGCTAAGCTGTCCCCTGTCATTTAGTTCCTTAGTGACTGTAAGCAAGTTATTTTCTGCCCTTGTCTAATCAGGGCTGCAAAATGGGACTATACTTGTAGCGTAGAAATAATGCGGCACTATATAATAGAAATTTCAAATAAAATATTTTCAACAAGAATAGCAAAATAGTTAAGTGATGCGCCAGCGAGGGAAATACCATTAGAATCTTGTGGATCTCTACAGATTAAAAAAAAAGGGTGACATAAGCTTCTGTGGACCGCAGTCTGTTTCAGCATTTATGCAAGAATAACCTTAGCATGAAACAATTAATCATCCTAATTTTACATTTCTATATCATACTTATTTATATCATCAATAACATTGATAACTTGGCTTGTTAATTGACAGGAATTATTTGGAAATAGAATAAAAAATGGCTTGTTTGTGCTTGCCATCAAACTATATTGTAACTCATTTGTCCACTTCTTAAAGGGGGAATTTTAGAGTGCTGTAAGATAGATGCTTATTAAAACTGGGGTTATTTTGTTACATATAAATCAATATCCCATAGTATGTATACAATTTACACAAGTTTAAATGCATCATTATGGGTATTTGTATTGTGTTTTAGCTAATATGAAACATGTATTAAAGAGATACTATATGATATAGTCTTGTTAATTGCTTTGGTAGTTTTCTTAACCAGAGTTCCCCAGCTTTGTGGAAAGGAGGGAGGAAGGAGGGAATGGTTCCATATGATTGGTGGGCAAATGTGCATATACACGCAGCTCCATTAATGTGAGCTAGAGGCGCATGTGCACACCATTTACAGAAATGGAGCATGTGCATACGTCTTGCCCACTGCTTGTGCAAGTGGGGATGTGCACATGAATGTAAGTTCCAGTGGCCTAGAGGTGGAGGTCTTGCCTCACAATCAGGAGGCTGTGAGTTCGATCCTAGGTAGAGGCTAATATTTGGAATAGACTCTCCTGCTCAAGCAGGGGGTTGTACTAGATCAGTGGTCGCCAACCAGTGGGCCGGGGACCATTGGTGGTCCGTGAGAAAATTTTGGTGGTCTGCAGAGAAATGTCACCCCCACAAAGACTCATTTCTGGCAGAGTTTGGGGAAGAGAAAGAAAGACTTCTGCTGCTTCTACTGCTTTCCTTGCATGAAGCCAAAAGTCTCTCTCTCTCTCTCTCTCTCTCTCTCTCTCTCTCTCTCTCCCCCTGAGAACAAAGCTGGAGACGGTATCCTGTGATCTCAAATAAAGAGGGATCAATCAGTAGGAAAACAGGATGGGGAATTTTCCTGCAGACTCTTTTGGGGATTTTCCCAGGGTCTCTGCTTCTTTCTGCAGAGACCCTGGGAAAACATCAGCAAGCCACCATCAGTCAAAATTGATATTAGTAGTCCGCAGGATTTAAAATTATGAGTTTGTTGGTCCCTGATGTCCAAAAGGTTGGTAACCCCTGGACTAGATGACCTCCAAGGTCCTTTCCAATTCTGTTATTCTATGAATGTGCTCGCCTGCCATTTCCATGGCCCGGTTCTCATCAGCTCAAGGCCTATTAGTGGGCTGCGTCCTGAGGATTGGGGGCTACTGCCTTTAACATTGTCTTTCCTTAACACTGATATTTTCAACCTACCAATCTTCTGGATGACTTTTAAGATTGATTTTTTTTTTTGCTGGAAGCCTTGGACATATGTTAAAAAAGGAAAAGGGATCTGCACTATTCTTGGAGTGTTAGGTTTTTTTTTAAATCCCCTTACATTGATCCTGATGAAAACTTCCCTGTGGCTGTTACAGGTTTTGGGAAAGGAGCTATAGTTGGGAAAATACTGATACATAATAAAATTTCTGAGGAAACCGAAATTCTCCAGAATGCAGTCTAAAAAGAAACCTGTAACAGGACAGAATGATAAGCCTGGGTATATTTTACTATTTTAAATGTAGCATTGTAGCTCTTTTGCCTTCTAATGCCAGTTGTTGCTTATTTCCATAGGTGGATCCAGAAAAATGTCGCTATGCTGTAGGTAGCGTCCTGAGTGAAGGAGAAGACAAGCCATCTGAGGCAGTGATCCGCATGTTTCTGAAGTATGGCTTCAAGATTATCAACTTCCCAGCTCCTAGTCATGTAGTCACGGCAACCTTCCCTTATACAACTCCACTATCCATCCATCTGGCAGTGAACCGTGTCCATTCAAGTCTTGATGTATACATCAAGGTGAGTGAAACTGTAAAACAGATTTTTGAGCCTGGAAGTTAAAATTCCATTTTTAAAAAATTTCCTGCAGAGGATATATATTATATGATGTATTTCTGGTTGTATTACATAAATTCAGATCTGCTATTCAATGAATGGCAAGCCATTAGTTGGGTTTTTGTTGTTGTGGACCACTAAATAAATATTAGAAAATGTGAGAGCTGTCCAATTTAACAAGTACTTGACTGAATGTTTTTATATACATTCTGTCATGCCCCTGGTGGAGACTGACTCTGAGGGAGAGGAGGAACAGCCAACAGGGAGTGGAAGCGTGGCTCCGGAGGTTTTGGGAAGGGCAGAGGCTGGCTGGGCAGTCAGAGGAGGACCAAGGCCCATCCACTCTCCATCCTAGGGCATGCAAGGAGGAGAAGATAAGGGAAAGACATGGTCTACGGGGGAGGAGAGGGAATTGATCCTCTTCATGGGCTGCAGCTGTGACAACTGGATAAGAGGACGGACATGCATACGGGCCAGTGCTGGAAACAAAGCGTGGAAATATCTCTAGTTTATTGTTCCTCTCTGAGTTTGGCGTCCTTCCCAGTGTGCGTTCTGATATCTGTGGACGTCTTCAAGCCCTTATCTTGCCTGGCTTGTGTTGTTTTTTACTCTTTATAATTTAAATGGCATTTCCTCCTTCTTGTAACTACTTGTGTATGAGTTTTTTGTCTCCAGTCAAGGAAATTTGGAGCTTGGAAGCAAAGTGAAGGAATAAAAGGGCCTTCACCTGTTTTTTGTGACTGTGTTTATTTTGTATCCCACTCTGGGTCATCACACATTCTCTGCCACAATAAGAATCTGCTGGCCAAGGATATTCTTCAGTAGAATTACCTGAGGTTGGGAGAGGTAGATCTCTGACAAAGGTAAATTCCCTTTTTTAGATACTCATCGTTGTATTTCCTATTTGCATTTCTCATTTCAGGTTATTTGGACAAGGTCACAGCTCTACATAGCAGAGCACATGTGAATCCATAATTGTTAAATTGTCTTTCAAGTAGGGCACTTCAGACTAATATTTAACTTGTGGTTCTAACCAAGATGGTGAATAATATTGACTAGCAGTGATTTTGTGTAGAGTTCTGTAGTAGTCTGGACATGTTTGTTATGTTCCTAATATTTTTGCTTTTATTTTTCTGTGTAATCCCAAGGTGAAAGGTATTTTGTTATAATCTCTCTAGCTATCTGAGAAAGGTCAGGGGTGAAATCTTGCTAAAGCTGTTTGAAAGTGAACATTTCTAGGACTCATAACATCTCTGTTCCTGTATATCTGCCGATACGTTTTAATAAGGGAGAGAATAATGAAGCTTTGTGAATGAGAAGAGATTCAGTGGGAACCAGCCCTGTTCTATTTGAAGGGAATATATCTCTCATATCTCTTATACATGTGGAACATTTCCATTCATATCACCTGTACAGCATGACTGATTCTTATTTCCTGTCAAACTAATTTCCTCACTGAAAATTAACTGTGGAAAGCACATCACTAAATCTCAACTCTCACTAAAACACTTGGCTTTTTTTTTTTTAAGTACTATGTGAGAATGCTGCGTTTCACCATAGCTAAGATTTGAGATCTCTAAACAATAGGGACCCTTTTGGAAAAGGGCCATTCAGTTAAATTGTTCACTATCTGTCTCAGATATGGGCTCATACTTGAATGGATACATCTTGGAAAAGGGACTAACTGTTTGAAAGCAAAAAATTGTTAAAGGCAAAGGCAACACAATTAATTTAAACTGTTGAATAAGCCTCGTCCTCTGGGCTTTTCTCTGCTCTCTTCTGTTGTTTGGAATGCCGATCACGAAGAAAAAAAACTTGGGAATAAATTGGGCAGACCATGAAGGTAGGCTGTTTAAAAAAATCTAAAGCTATTTTTATTTTATCGTCCAATTTGGATAGCTGCCCATCTCACCAAATACGACTGTGGGCAGTGTACAACAATTGAGTAACAACACATACAAAAACCGGAAATATAAAAAAATATAAAATGAAGATTAAAAAATAAATAATTATAAAAACAAATATATCATCCTTAAGCAAAGGGAGGAAAAGAATGAGCACCTAGCAATAGAACCATCTGAGCATATATCTCTGGTTCCCTGAGAGCACCAGACCTAATTACCTAACCAGGTTTTGAGGGACTTCTGGAATATCAGAAGGAATGGATCTAATCCAGGGGTGTCAAACTGGCGGCCCACGGGCAGGATGCCTCACACACAGGCCACGCCCATCTCAGCTCTGCAAAGGGGAAAAAATGTCATGAAACATCACATGATGCCGCAAATTTGACACCCACAATCTAATCTAAGGGGAAGAATGTTCTATAAGGCAAGCACCATGGCAGAGAAGGCGTGTGGTCTGAGATCCAGCAGATGTAAGACTGTAGCTGATTGTATCTGCACATGCCAGATCTAGTTGGGCACGCTGATGTAATCGAGGAGAGGCAGTCCCTTTTGATAAAGGGCTTTAAAGCTTAAATTTAGGACTTGGACCCCGGACCAAGCTGGCAACCAGTGCACCTTAGGGATCAGAGGTGTAACACGCACTGTTCTAGAAGTGCACATCATTGCATTCTTTGCCAGCTGAAGCTTCTGTATAGTCTTCAAGGCAGCCCCATATAGGAGTGCATTGCAGTAGTCCAATCTGGAGGTGACCAGAGCATGAGTGACTGTATTGTTATTAATTATGAACCTTTAAAAAATATATAACCATTTAAAAAGACAAAAAAATAACAGAAACTAATATTTAGAATAAACAAAGGAAAGAAGAAAGCAAATATGCAGAAAGGGAAAAAAAATATAAAATAGCTTTTGATTTTTTTTTTTTACAGAAGCTACAAGTATAAATATAAACCAAGGGTTTTCAAATTTGGCAAGTTTAAGACTTGTGGACTTCAACTCCCAGAATTCCTGAGCTAATGTGACTGGAAGAGGAATTCTGGGAGTTGAAGTCCACAAGTCTTGAAGCTGTCAAGTTTGAAGACCCCTGATATAAACTAACTCTATGGTTACAGCATGACTTTTATTTTTTCTATACTCTTTTTTTCTAATCAAAATCACATATCATGTTCACTTTTTTCTGTTTGATGCAAAAAAATCTATCAGGTGATTCCAGATAGCATTAACTGCAGTTATCATATATAAAAACAAAATTCCATTACTTTTTCCCAATTGTTTATTGATCAATCTGAATAGAAAAGCTTCTAGTTTCAATATTAATCGTTAAAAGTCTCGGAATTAGTGCATAAAGTTGAGTCCAAAATTTGGCTTTTTTGCACATCTGCTATGTATGGTAAAATATCCCTCTTGGTCACATTTCCAACATAAATTTACCTTTATACATTCTAGACAACTTATCTGGTGATATATACCACTAATACATCATTTTATAAAATAATTCTCTTTAAGATGAGAACATAATGTAAATTTTGGCCCTATCAACCACATATTCTTTGATTATTTCATTTGCATTTTGTAATAAAAAAATAGCCTATTTATCATTCTTTTACCTGCTCTTCTGTTTCAAATTTCTATGGAAATTTTAGCAGTAACATGTTCATAACTTGTACACAATTCTGTTTCAAACTCGGACTTACAATGCTCAAAACCAAACTATCTTCTTTAAATCTTTCTGATAATTGTACATAAGAGAACCATTGATAAGTGTATACTTCTGCCAGCATATATTCTCTTGATTTGATTTTACATTCCTTGTGGCAAAAATCTAATATGTCTCAATGTTAGTCATTTGTATTTACTTACCATTTCTCTTCTATAATAGACTTCTTGAATTGAGAGCCACAAAGGTATTTTCAGGCACAACATGGGTTTATATCTATTCCATATTCTCTTTATGGCATGTCTAACAAAAATATTTTTAATATCTAAGTAACCTTAGCTTTTTCATACCGTAAATATCCACGTTCCTCAAATCTCATGTCCTTCTAGCTCCAAAAACCTTCTGTTTCTCAGCAACGTGTATTTTTTCATCCAAACCAAACAACAAACTGCAAAATATAAATATGGTAAACCCAATCTTTTTTCTTTTATATCTTACATCATTTTACATTTAACTTTGGTTTCGCCCTGTTGTTATTTTTCTGCTATTATTTAATTAGTACATCTGTTTTCAAAGCAGATATTTTCTTTCTGGAAAATCTCAGTGGAAATATTGCACCTTCTCCTTAATCTTAAAACCCATTTTGTTCAGCCATTCTGTTTAATCTTGTGTCATCATATTTTTGTTAACATCTTTACTTCTGTTTATTAATCCTGAAACTGCTGATGCACCAAATTCTTTTAGTTTTCCCATTAATGTTTCAATTCCGTTTAAAGAATCTTCCAAAATCAGCATCTAATCATCTGCAAATCTTAATTTAACAAATCTTAAATCTTGCCTCTTTTTAAATCCTCTTATTTTGTATGTCTCCATTCAAGATTTCCAAAACCAAAATGAACAGAGTAGAGAGCCCTGAATTGTTCCCTTTTGTATCTCACATGGTTTTATTAGAGCTCCATTAACAATAATTTGGACTTTTTGTGAGGGATACATTCTCTCCAAATTTCATATAGTCCAAAACTTTAAACAGAAAAGTGCAATTCAAATTGTCGACAGCTTTCTCTGCATTTAAAAAAAATAATTCAGCCTGTTTCCATTATGCTGGTCCAATATTCTGGACTATTCCGTACAGTTCTGATATTCATGAATACATTCTTGAAAAATTATTTTCAAACTATCAGCTAGGATCATTGTGAACAAATTATAATCATTATTCAATAATGATATTGATCTGTAATTTCTGGTCAAAGTCAAATCTTGTCCTTCTTTAGGTGTTTGTGCTCCGTGAATTAGCCTCTTTCTAAGTCTGAAATCTTTCCTTCATATAAACTAGAATTCGTCACATTTTGTAGAGCTTATGAGAGTTCAAATCATTTATAGTAAGAACCTGATAATCCTTCTGATCC